ATAAGGCTACAATGATAAATGAGACAATATAGACCTACAAACGTGTTCAATTATATTGTATATGTAAGCAATAAGGTACGAGAGGCTGTGCTGTATCGTGAATAAGTCACGGCTGAAGGGCGTTGTTAGGCACGACGCGAAGCGGAGAACCAGGGACTAGTTCGTAAAAGTAGGTTTTCGACAAAATTCGACATAGCAGAACATTTTTTCAAGGCTCCAGCACTTACGGTTTGGGCTGCACAATGCGTTTTATGGCAGAAAAATAATAATAAAAACCCTTACAATTACAATAGGTTTTCAGCACTTAATAATAAAAAAATAATAAAAATCAGTACAAATGCAATAGGGTTTCAGCACTTCGTGCTTGAACCCCTAAAAATCTGTACAATTATAATAGGTTTTCAGCACTTCGTGCTTGAACACCTAAATATCACCAGGGGCGGAGCTAGACTCTCAGTACAGTGGGGGCGGAGCTTCATCATGGGGCCCTCTGGTAACAAGTCATTTTAAAATTAAAACCGTTAAAAAAACGTAAAATATCTGATGAATGCATAATGTCACTTGTTGAGCCAAGTAAGCTTATATGTTAAATAAAACACAAAGAAAAGCCAAATTTTTAGACAAGTTTGTATTGACGAACAAAGAAAACAGTTTGCCAGTCAAGTAAAAATGTTTCAGCACCACAGACAGCGACATCTGATTGACAGCGATGGTGCTGAACAGGCCAAGTGCGCTCAATCAGTGCCACACTTTATATAATTGACATGGCACTATTATATATATTGAACAACTCCATAGGTAGGCTAAAGGTGCTACATGAAAACTGGGATGAACACTTGATGAAAAACAACTGATTTATAACATTCTGAGTGACTTATTCATAACTAAAATATACATTTTTAAAGACGATTTTTTTTCTTACCATTTTGTGGTCTTCTTAACGATCCTCCAGAACAAATAAATAAATAAAATTGACCACAGAGCTACCGTCTGAACGCTGTTATGATAATAACGTATTTTATGCTCTTGCAAAGCCTCATTGATGTAGCCTAATATGTTTATATTGCAATGTTTTAGAAATGTTTTCATTATTTATTCAATATATTCAATTTAATTCCAGTAATGTCAGTCAGTATTATGATTATGAATTCCTTTAACTTCAATGTTTCACTTGAATTCATCTGCAACCAGCGGCGGCAGATTACGCAATAGAGAGAATAAACGTACACTTTTCAAAGTCTGTGATTGTAGCGCCTCTTAGCGGTACAAAGCAGCAAATACACACCCGTGGCGGTAAAAGTATTATTCTGGTTGAGAACCAACTGTACTTTGCCTGGGCCCCGTTCCTGTCCAGTGACGCAAGATCGGCGGCGTTTGAGGGGTAATTAGCACGGGGCCCTGGGGCGGCCGCACCCAATCACCCACGCTATCTCCGCTACTGAATATCACATTAGGCAAGTTGTAGGTTGTGTTTGAATAATTACTTATCTGATTTAGCTGGGGTAAATTAAATGCAATACTCAAGTATCCTTGCTCGATGAAGACTGAGACGGGCCAGCGGTCGGTTGAAATTTATAAGGCTGATTTTCACGCTTCAGGGCAGTGACGAGTACATATGTCCGAAAACCAGTCAGTATCTGGTCTACCACCATTTGCCTCATGCAGTGCAACACATCAGCCTTGCAACCCTAACCTAAAGATTTTTTTCAAACATTTTTCTTTTAATTTAGCCGATTAGGTTTGATGGTCTTTTTTGATGTGGAACCGGTTGGTCCTGATGTAGCTTTGGAAAGCGTCTGAAGACCAACTTCCGAGAGCTTGGATCTTCTGCTGGGAGAGGCCTTTTTGGGCTGCTGAGGTTGATGCCCCGATGCGGAAAGAGTAACTGGAAAAATTATGCGCTGAGATTTCTGATTGCTGAAGGACGGATTTGAGGTGTTTTTGGAACTAAAAGCGTGTATCAGGTTTGTTGGAGTCATCTATGAAAAGAGGTTTGAAAGGAGATGTGGCCTGAGAGTATCTAAGTTGGAGGTACGCAAGGACAGTTTAGTATGGTTGGATTGGAGATGAGATATTGAAAATATTGATAAATTGGCCTATTTTAGCTTGGTCTGTTTTGCTTTGTTTTATCAAGTATGAGATTGTATCGCTATCAAGTACTGATAGGTCTGAGATTGTGGGGTAGACTTTTGGGTCTAATCTGAAGGTGATAGCGATTTACAAGCATCTAAGAAAACCTAAAAACCTAATAAACATAGTGTAGAGTGTGCGGGCAGTATTGAGGGGCTGGTATGAATACATTTTGTGTGAATGTCTAGTGTAGGGTTGTTTGGTTTGTTATCTGGAAATTAAAGGACGGCCTTGCGTAATGATGCGCATTGAGAAATTTAAGTGGCCGAGCAGGGATAGGAGTTCGTGTTTGGAACAATTTGGAGTAACTAGGAGGGTAGATGAGATGAGGATTATCCTAGCAATTTTTTCTTAGATTTTTTTTCCTTTCCATTTTTTTCATTCATCTCTCGAAAGTATGTGAGATGAATGTGGGTTTGGGTTTTATAAAGTGACTGAAAAATCCCCACAGTCTATTTGGTGGTCTGATACAGAATTGGGGAGCAGAAAGAGTTGAGATGATAGGTCTACGTTCGCACCTGCCAGGATCTGTCCTCGGATGTTGTGACCCACTGACGGTGGCTCCGAGGTGACAGCGTTAGATGGGACGGCTATCTGTGTTGTTGTGTAGAGAGAGTATTGTGATTTGGTTTGCAGGAGAGAGCTGAAAGAGACAGAAGCCTGGGCTGCGATTGTCGGAGGAGGCAGCCTCACGCTTGAATCTGCCTCTTATCTGGGGCTTGGAAGGGAACATTGGCTGGAACATGAGAAGGAAAAGAAGGATGATGAGACATGGGCTTGTGCTGTAGTGGAGGCAGCCTCGCGCTAGCGCCTGCAACGGGAGCTGGAGGCTGCTGAAAAGGAAAAGGGTAAGAAACAGCGGGAGGAAAAGGCTGAGGGGAGCCGGCTGCATATGGCGCTGCAGCGGTGAGGTCTTTCAGCGGAGGAATCTGGGGCCCGGCCCAGGCTCGATGAAGACCTGTTACTGCGGCCCCTTGCTCAGAGTGAGAGGGATCTTGTGCGGGAGGAAAGCGGTGGTGTCGAGTGAGGCGAATTCTGAGCCATGCGAGCTTTGCTCTGTCTGTTGGCCATCTTGGGAGCTGGAGTGGACTTTGGAGAGAGGTTCACTGATTGTAAGGACTGATTGTAAGGTGATGTAGAGATCGCACAGTTCCGCTTTGTTTTAGCTTCCACGAGAACTGCAGGTCAGAATTAATCAGCGCTTGCCACAATCCTACTTCCCGATAGGTGGAATCGTTGGGTAAAGTTGGCTGGAACCCAATTGACCCTTCGCTAAGCCACGCCCGAAAACCGCCACTGGCCAATCGTGACTTAGCAACCGTAACTAGGCGCGGGAGGTCTGTCAAGCTTTCGAGCGAGGGAAACATGCCGAAGCGTTGTGTGTATGGATTGTGCAAATCTGATACCCGGTATCCTAAAAGTTTGAACGGTGGGGTGGCATTTTTTCCCTACCCGAAACCTAAAAGCCAAAGGGGACAAATGCCGGTTGTGGATCAAGCAGTGTGGGAGACCCATTCACAACTAAATGTCGACAGGATTAACTGCTGCTGCTTGCGCTGGGACCTAACGTTATAGGCTTTAGCTTCAATTTTGATGAAATTATTCTCTAATCGGTAGCATATTATGTCGTGGATATAACCCTCGAATGCATACTGCAGTCCCTTTTGTCTTGCTCTCTCAGATATTTCACCTGTTCGCCAAAAATGACTATATCTCCTTGGGAATGTCTTGACACCGGTGCATTCACACTGTAATAGACGTGGCAGCCGAGAAAGCTTGACAGGCGTAGCAACAGTAACTAAGGAGGGCGGGGCTTAGCGAAGGGTCAATTCCTTAAAGTGGAGATCCAGGCCAGAGAGTTACTTCATTCAAATCTAATTAAAATTCAAGAAAAAAACCCCCACAAAATCCCTACAAACTAATAATGAAAACACCTCCACAGAACCAGTGGAATCACGTCATACCATCCTTTAACCTTTTAAAAAGTATTTTAATTAAACAAAGTCATATTTCCACTTCTCCATGTTTTCTGTTATCTACTGTCCAATCTATTTAACTAACCTTACACACAGAATAAACTCAACATTGTGCACATTAAAGATCCAACTATAATTTGTATCAAATCAAAAGTTATCAAAATGGTATTAGTGTTTTTTTTCCCCGGCTGAATTCTCATTTTATTATGTATAGCCTATATGCAAAGTCATTTTGCTGCTTAAAATACATTGAGTGTAAAATCACCTATTTGAAAACAGGCTAATTCTGCCAACATTGTGTGAAAGTGCCATAACAAAGTCTATTTTTTTAAATGAAGGTAGAAACAGTGGACATCAAGAATACTTGAAAGAAAAGAGTATGTAACAGACATATTCATGAATGATAGTCTACTATTCTGATTTTGTTAAGCATTTCACTAGTAACCGTTTCCTCAGGCCTCCAAAGACACGCGCATATTACCCAGTCCCAAGAGGAAACACGCTTTGTTTTAAGTGTAAACACTGCTGAAATCATTCTAAACACACTATTAGGTCAATTCTATTTTGTAGAAGGTACAACATTAATGGTCAACACCTCATTTGTATATTATGAATGTCCTGTGCATTTCCTATTATTATTGAAAAGTACTAATGATTGTGCCCACCCCACAGGTTCCATCTATTGGAAGCAGAATGCCCGCAAAGTCCTTGCTGTAGCAGAGAACGAATTTGTGGAATTGCAGAGTGGCAAACGAAGAAGATCAAGGTAGCTACCGTTAAATATTAAACAGAGTACTTCATTTAAATTACACAAAACAAATTATCTGACTATGTTAAGTCTTTTTTTTTTTTTTAAGTCGAAAAGAGGATGAAACTGCAGGCTTGCAGGTGATACTTGCTGCCCAGAGTCTTCCGGAGGTGACCTTGACAATTAAAAGGCTTTCTGAGCTGGCCATCAGTGAAAGAGTGACATACATCTTGACAGAAGCACAGGCAGAGCACGTGCGAGCTGCTTTCAACTGTACTGTGTGCAAGGGTATCCAGATATTTTACACTTTTAAACTGCTCTATAAAACTGTCAACAAAACCTATAGTGGAGTTTGTTCATTTATCTCTCATGCCTATCTTGCAGGGACAGTGAGTGAGCCAGTTCTTTCCGCCTGCTGTAAAACCCTCCTAGGATGCAAGGTCTGCATTGACCAGTGGCTTCAAAATGCATCGCAGTGTGTGAAGTGTAGAGAGGAAAACTTCAGAGCCAATGTGATTGTTGTCACTGGTCTGTCTGAGGCATTGTTAGCCTTAAAGGATATCATAAAAGTGGATTAAGTGCTGCATCAGTGGATCTAAGTTTGAGTTACAGTGTTCAGTTAAACGTTGTTTTGTTATAGTGCTACTTAAATGTTTACAGTAACACAACCCTAGGACTGGGATAGTTACATACATAACCTTACTATGCTTGTCTTTTAGTTAAGTTAATAAGATAGATCACTGCATCTTTAAAAGGTGAAAGATTTTTATTAACTGCGCTGTTGAACAGATCTGCCATGTCAGGGTAAGTTTCAGCAAAAAGACGTTCAACCATAGCCTTCTCTTCTTCTGTTGAAAAGGGGTCTGTTCCAAATGACGACTCTCTTGTTAAGGTGCCTCCCAGTTCCTCAGCGTAAAGGTTGGCTGCTTCAGGTGCCGGAGGCAGTAAGACCTGTGAGACCTGTTTAGGGCACCCACCCCCTGCAAGTTGATTGGGGACACCTTTTCCTGTAATTGAATTGTTCAGATGAGTACAATACACCCAATAAAGAGTGTCTGGATCATATGTTCTTTTTAAATGGTTTTTAACATACCAGGGATTCTGTGTTCATTCCAGGCATCCACAAGTCTGTTCATACCAAGATGACAAAGGTGACCAGTCAAGTTAGACACACAGTATCTGCTAATGTTACAGTCCATGTCGAGAAGTTCTTGGTCAGTCAGATTGATCAGAGCCTCCTTCAGTGGGTAATTGACCCTGTTGTTTACTTCAGGCCACATCCGCTCAACGTTATGATTCTAGTAAACAACAGACAACCACATATTTTAATGTGTGTAAGTGAACCATAGCTTCAGGGGGAAACTGTTTTGAAATCGTCAATATCAGATCTATTGGCGTCAGTAAGAAGATGAAGGGGCTCATAGAACTGCCAAAATCCAATCCACAAAAAGTGTTATGGGTGAATGTCTTAATATTGCTAAACATGACATATTTTAAGGTCTACTTACAACTCCAAATTTCTTACCTTTGTTGATGTGGTTTGGCAGTATGGTGGTTTGTCCTGATTGTGCCTATGGGGAGCAAGGATTTCCTGAATAAAAAGAGACAAGTAGAATTCCTTGCCGTGGTCGACTCTCACCTGGTCCCACATCCCGTGGTTGACAACAGCCGCCCTGGATTGCAGGTCACTTATGGAAGACATTATAATTTATCAGAATTGAGGACTATGTGTCTTTGCCTATGCCACAAAATGGCACTTAAAAGGTAACAACAATACTATTTATGCTTTCAGATGAACAAACAGAATAAATTACTAATACAAATGTGTAGAGTAATAGAACCAAAACAAACCTATAGACTTCCTCATAAATGGTGAGGTTATTCTTCACTGGCATTGTTGCATGAGCCACGACTTTGCTACTTTGCCACGTACCCATCCACTGGAATAACATGGGTCACCCCATGAATGAAACAATTTTGACAAGATTAATTATTTGACAATTTCATAACTGCCACCCACTGTCATTTCACATGGCTAAAACATTTAGTTATGCATGTGCCGTGGTTTTTAACCTGGGGGGAAAGGCCCCCCTGTGGGGTTGTAAAGCCACTTCAGGGGTCATGGATGTTGGGCTTCTGAGATTTTGCCTTTAATATTCAAAAGGCAAGGTAATTCTGTTCTTAAGTGACACTTGTGTTATGTCCTACATAGGTCACCTAATAAGGAGCACTGATAATCTGAATAGGCCTAAACAAGTTTAGGTTTAACGGAGGACAACTTGATAAAGTTTGTTAGCCTCGGTTTGATGCTTCATTGTTTCTTAATTATTTCAGAAAATATTCAAATTAGAGAGTTGGGTATAGCCTAAATTACCCTGCATCTCGCTTCATGGTAGGGTCTTTCAATTCCACGTAGAATTCGTCCAACACGATTCTCCGCAGCAAAAACTCCTTTAGTCGCCAGGTAGCCAGTCATCAATTTTCTGCCGAAGGTCGGTCCAGTCTACAGAAGATGAACTAAGTTAAGAAGCCTGTCAACATAAAAGACAACTTGGTTTTTCCTGTGTTTTACCTCGGCAACTGCAGTCGACACATCTACTTCCAACTGTGCATCAGATTTTCCCCGCTTGAGTTTGTGACCATCACAAAATCTTCGCACACTCATCACAGAGCATCCACGTCCCACGCCAATATCTGTAAGGTGCTGTGAAATGTCAGCATGAGTCGCATGCCTTCTCAACATATCACTAATTATATCAGCGTATGCCTCAAGGGAAGCCAATCACCACGTCAGATTATTCAAAACGATTAACCCCGCCAGGTCATATAGTTCTTCCAGGTCAACAGCATCACCAGGTGTCCCGTCCTTAGGAATTGATTTGAATGAGGTTATCTCATTTTTGCATTTTCCCTTTTTATATGAATCCAAATTAATATTCATTTGATACATAGAAACAAGAAAGGGGTTGTTATTATTATTTTTTTAAATCCTAAATTATATTAAACAAATCAAATGTTCATTCAATTAGTGACTACAGATTTTAGGAAAATCAAACACCACTTGTTTTTTGTTTTTCATTTCACTTCCAAAAATAGAATAATGAATGAACGAAAAAGTACACGGACCTACACGGATTGAAAACCAGCTCGTTTATTCGTTTTTTTTTGTTTGTTTTTTTTGTTTAAAAACGAAAAATATGATTTTGGCTTGATTTTTTTTTTTTTTGGTTTATGGGTTCAATATTTTATTTGCACACGTGGGCGGCGTTGAAACGCCCCTTTCATCTGATTGGTCAAACCGCTCCGCCTTCAGTACGAGCTTTTCTTTGTGCGGCACTGACAAATGCACTTTAATAAAATAATGTCTGAAACCACCACTCACTGTTAACTACGCACAATATTTGAAGCAGAAATATGTTGCTGGTCACGTAACGCGTGCTGCTGCGACTTGCTAGCGACCCCAGTAATGTGAGCCACATTAGGCCTACATATGACAGATTATTTTAGCATGATGTATTTCCCATTGATAAATACAGTGCAAATAGTTCCGTCTCTTTGGATAAAAGGGAAGTGGAAATAAAAATTAACTGAACTGTACCACGATAATATGTCCGTAACATGGTCAGGTTTTGGGGAATATGTATTCCATAATTATTAATTCATAATTAATAATTATTCATACGGGTTTGAACCAGATAATTATACATGTTAAATCGCCCGATAATATGTTCCCTGCATCTGCATTCATATATGTACCTAGACAATTAACCACAAAGGATTATAATTAATTGCATATGTAGACTATATTTTACAGACAGGTTAAAATTAGCTCAATTGTATATCAATACTCAATCATACCGGATTATAATAAAATATTTATATATCAATTTAACAGTGTTTCCCCTAGGATTCTTTTTCAAGGGGGGGGGGGGGGGGGGACTGCTAGTGTTGCGGAGCGGGCGTGTTACGGATACGTGGTGTCATTTTTTTTTGCAATAAAGAAAAAGCATGTCTAATTAATTGAAATAATGTATTATGAATCATTAAACTTATACTTTTTTTTTTAAATATATGGAAAAAAAATTCACACTAATTCTGTGTTGTGTTTTTTCTGGTAATAAAATGAAGACATAAAACACAAATTGTATCATTTATCATCAATTTTAATCATATGAAATTAAATCAACTTTTTGTCAAATAACTTGCTGCACAATGAGCTTTACTGTTAAAATTAAAACATGGATTATTCCTTAAAAATTTCAGTTTTGATGATAATTTATTTGGATTAGTGTTAGTGTATTATTACATTGGGACATATCTAGATTCTAATGTACAACAGTAATATATTTCTGTCAAGTTAAACCGAACTTTTATTTTGACTGGTTGCCGTGAAGACCTTTTGAGTTTCTGTGTGTTTATGTCATGATGATAGTTTTTCTCAAATGAAGCGGTGAAATGATCACGAAGTGACTTTCAGAGTGGATCTAGAGCCTGGAGAGGAAGTTCATGCATTTGTGTCTTCATATAGGCCAAAAAACAGCGCAAGCGTCACACGTGCTTCAGTGTGTGTGTGTGTGTGTGTGTGTGTGTGTGTGTGTGGTAAATGAAACTGCGCGTCGGCGGCACCATTCATTCACACAGAACATGCAGGATTCGTATTTAAATAGTCTTTGTGTTTTAATATTCACACACACTAGTCTACATCGCGATTTGTTTTCAAGTGTACTGAACTGCTTTCTATTTTTTCCTCAAATTTACAAATTCCGTGAAATTCCGCGTTATACACTTAATTCCTTTTTTATGACTGGATTTCGTCAGCATTTTAGGGGGGGCGGGGGGTCGTTTTGGGGGGGCGGCCAATGGTAGGGGAAACACTGAATTAGGTCTATCATATATCAACTCTAATGCCGAGTTCAGACTGCATGATTTTAGCCCCGATTTTGGTTCGCCGACAGGTTTTGAGAAATCGCCGACAAATGCCCGAAATCACAGGCAAATTGGTGCTCGTTCACGCGAGTGACAATCACGCAGTGTGAATGAGCAAAGACGCGATCTGAGAGAATCGCCGACGAGTCGCCGACGCCCGTGAGATATTTGGCATGCTAAATATCTGGACCTGTCGGCGATTCACAATCCTGCTGTGTGAATGTGTTCTGACTGAAAACTACATCGGCGATGACCGACAGCCAATGAGAGAGCAAGATACAGGGAGGAGGAGGAGTTATAGACCAGAATATCAGTATTTTAATAGATAGGCCTATATTTACAATTATATCAAACAGAAACAAAGCACAAACATTTGCATGACCAGCAGCAACAGCAGGACATTTGCAAAATTATTTATTTACCCCCAACTCTCTTTGCAAAACACAGTCCTTGCTCCCCTCGTCTTCCCAACCATTTCCTGCATAAACTCTTTATTTTTTTTTTTCATTTTCGCTACAAATCAGTGCACAGACAATTTGTAGGCTATCATTTTTAATAACAAATTCAGTGTCGCGCGAGAACTCCGGTCTCACGCACGCGTGATCTTCCGTTATTTCCTATCACTTCTCGCGTTTGTTTGGTTGTGAAACGTAGTTTGCGGATCAGGCAGAAGTTGTCGGCGATTCTTTCTTTTGTAAAGTCATGCAGTGTGAAACCTCCTGTCGCCGATCCATCGTGCAGTGTGAACACAGCAGCAACTGAATGTTACCCCAGATAGTCATGCAGTGTGAAAACAACAGTGACCCGATTATTTTGAAAATCGTGCAGTCTGAACTCGGCATTAGGATAGTCCCGGTGGAATTAATTTGTGATCTGATAATCCGTTCAAACTGATCATGCGATCTTTATCAATTCTCACACCAAAATCATCTCAGAGATTCGCAGGAAAGGCAATTTCTGGCCATGAATACAACCGTCCTGTTTTACAAAGATAGCCTGCTAGTTAAAGTAACTTCATACTTTTAAAGCACGTAGCTTTGGATCGTATACATTAAAGGGACTTCTGCATGAGCAAGAGACAGAATCAATAAATGAATATAATGTATTTTAATAAATGAGTACACTACGTATATGGTTACTA